TTTTTATGTTTTGATCTTAGGAAGGTAACTTTAATTTATATAATTATAATTTTTTTTATATAATTATAATTTTAAAAACATTACTATTACAGACATTTTAAAACATTGTTGCTATATTCATAACTAACCGTATTTAATGTTGGTTGTATACCCCTTATATGGAGGGCCTCGAGAATTTGAAGTTTTTGTTTTTTATTTTCATGGTGGAGTATACTTGTATTATCAATTAATATTTTCTGAATTGTGAATGTAAACAAGAACGTGTTTTTAAATGTTGTGCGATAGAGCTTGTATCCGACATACCTAGTGTAAGTCTTCTTGATAATGTTGTTGTCGTCAAACCAACTTAAATATTTACTTTTTTGTCAGAGATACAATCTTCTAAAGGACATTTAAATTGATATACAATGTTGTTTTTTTGCAAAACACTAGTTGACGGAAAAGAGTTATTGCGGATGATTAAGTTGGTTGTATTAAATTTAGTATAGTATATAATTAGTTTTATTTTTTTTATTGTGATGAGTGGGGAATATCTTAGTGCATATGAATTTTTCATTTTTTTTTTTTTTGCAGTTAGAAAGTATTTGCGGTATAATAGGTTGACATGTTTAGGGTTATTTGCGGAAGTATTATGTTCTTTTTGATTTGCTAATACTTCTAATAGCTCGTCTAATTTGTTTATCAACAATGTAATTAGGAAGGTCATTATTAATGAAAATTTGTTTAATGTTTTTTAATTCAGTGTAGAAAATCTTTTTTCGTGCAATAGTTAACTTTTTTTTTATTAAATTTTGTATAATAGGTATTTTGTGATACGATATTCACTTTTATATTTCGCTTTTTATATGGGGAGGTAGTAAATATATTATTATTAGTGTCTATCGATACATCCAGAAAAGGAATTTTATTGTCATTGTTAAGTTCATGTTTGAAGTAAAATTAAAAAAAAGAAAATATGGTGCCTTTCATAATGAATTTAATATCAACATAAAGAAGTCAATCAGAGAATTCGAGAGGATTCAAATAAAAATAGACATATGTCCAGATTATTCAACCAAACATGCTTGAATAAACATATGCTGTCTAAATATACATACATGCATACATATATATGTGTGTGTGTGTGTGTGCGCGCGCGCGTGTGTACGTGTAATATATATATATATATATATATATATATATATATATATATATATATATATATATATTTTGCTTTTTGTAAAGAATCAGGTTTAATATATATTAATTTAGCCTGGTTTTCTTTTTTCTCAATTTTTTTATCTCCTACTTTTTCTTTTTTTGCATCTATTTTTTTCACTTGTTTTTTTTTTTTTTTGCCCCACCTCTTCCCACGAGATTTTCCTTATCCCTTCTCGTTTAATATTATTTACGTAGGTTTCTCAGTCAGAAAGCATGACTGATGCCAGCTTAGAAGTGTCAGAAATCATACAGATATTGTTCTCTGATTCTAAATAGAAACGCATAACAGGTAAATAAACTAAACAGTATAGATTTTGAGATTAAGCATTTTCACGATAAATATTTGACTAATCCTTTCTGATATTGTTGGTTTGTATCACAGCTTTCGAGGTCGAATAACCGCATTAAGTAAGGTGAATAAATAACAAAGGAAGTAGTTTCCAATCCGACTGCATCTCATATCCCGGGGGCGGGGATCATTTTCCGTGGTCGAATCAAGCGGCGAAAAAAAAGAGAAGGAAAAAAAAAAAAGAACAGCACGTAAACAAAGTGACATTGGGGTACATATATACGAAACCCAATGTACCCATCATGACACCCAGTCTGAAAATTATACACCTGGTACATGCACAACAGCCAAAGATGAACAATAAGATAACAGGGTTTGATAAAAGCAGCGTATAACGTTCCAAATTGGATCCAATTAGAAATACCTTCGAGTAACCCAATTTGCTCAAGAATCTAGATGTGGCTTCCAAGTCGCCTTCAGCTGGTCATGATATTCCACCACTAATCCCGTTTGTGAACAGTGATACACTGGGCGTCAACCACTCAGAGATATGTATATCTGGTTATGGTCAGATAACTAATATTCACATCTGTGGTACGAAACGGGATGTTTACTGGGTAAATTTGCAGATAATGCCCCAATGACAAACTAAAAAAATATATATCATTCCTGGTGTAAAAACGCCTGATTATTCCAAAAATAGCATTAAAAATTGGCGGAAATCTACCGTTTAGGAGATATTGACAATTTTAGTTTGGTCCCGGTTACCCTCGATTAATGTACAAAAGTTTACTGGCCTGGTAAATTTTCGCGCAGTAATCGAGTGTAACAGAGACCCAAATAAAATTGTCAATATCTGCTAAACGGTAGATTTCTGCCAATTTTTAATGCTATTTTCGGAATAACCAGTCGATTTTATACCAGGAATGATTATCTTTTAAATTTGTTACTGGGGCATTAACTGCAAATTTACCACTTACTGTAACGCATCTTAATTCACAAAAAATGCGTGCACATGTTAACACAACCAGTCAATTAAGATAAGCCATGAGAGTCATACTTGGTGTAGCATCATGGTATATATTATTATTATTATTTATATAATAATTATGTTTAGTCCTCCCTTCGTTAGTTTGCACGACCGTTACGCCCTGCCAATGATTCATAAATAATGGACTATTCCATTTTGATCGCATAGAAAGAGAGAAGACACTACTTGGTTTCAGTGAGAAAGAAAGAAATAAGAAAGGGAAGATAGAAGTGCTTAACGTCTCCTGCTAATACCTCATAAATAATCATTTAATAAAAATGCAATATTGTTTTTGGTATGTCTTTTCTTTAATTCTTTATATATACAAGAATCCAGTTTCTAGTTCGTCCTGCGTTTGTGAGAACTAAAAACAAATCTCAAGGTTAAACAATTCAAAAATTTGAATTTGGTTCCAGACAGAAATATTTATGCATGGCCAGTTGTATGCTGCATGCTCAAAAGTAAGTAATCCTAAGAATGTATTTTTCGCTGTTAAAAGGGGAAAAATTCTTAAAAAATATTGTTTACCATGAAGTCCTATAAAGTTAAATTAATTTCAAGAAATTATTAAACCGCGAAGTAGGGTTTTTCTCATACTATTTTTCATAACGAATCAATTTATTCAAATTTCATTGATTGGCTTGCGAAATTGAATGAAACTTAGAGTTTGTAGATATCGACAAAGATGTTAGCGAGAACTTCAACAATAAAACTAAATACTGTGAAGATTGCAACACGCTGACGCGTGTTGCAAAGAAATCTAGTATATTAAAAGGAACAAATATTTGGATCAAATTCCTGGAAGTCCTAAAATATGTGCATTGCAAAAAATCATACTCATTGGTGCTTCTTACACCTTGCATAGATTTTTCTCTATGCAGTGACCACAATTAAATATTTTAAATCTCCTTGTTTTTAAGCCACCACATCTGTTTGCATCTTCTAATAAAAAAATGTTTCCATATTGATTATGCTTAGAGCATTTATTACTGATTTACTGTGACATCCTAAGAACAAGTATGTTACCGTTGACAGCAGTTATGTAGAAATTGTTACAAAATTGTGAGTAGATATTGAAGTTTTTTTTTTTATTAATTTAATACACTTCTATATGAGTAGCATTAGTTACACGAAGCACATCAAGATGGTACTCTTGCGATGTTTGCTGTAGCATAACGTCATCAATGGTGGCAATAGCATCAGTGATCTTTTGCTTTAGATCACTGATGTCTCGTATCTTTGTTTGATACACGATATCTTTAACATAACCTCATAGAAAGAAGTTCTGCAGTTTCTAGTATTCAATTTTGTTTCAATAAACCATGGCACACATAAAGTTTGTTTCAAAAATTTTGTTTCAATAGACCATGACACACTGAAATTTCTCGGCCGAACCAAGAATGGATTCCGAGATAAATTCTGATCTTTGGTTAGATTTTAGTGAGTGGGACAAACTGAAAATGTTTCATCACCCAGCTCGTATATTTGTCTATCATAGTCTATTTCTGATAGCCTCTAATTTTCACTTTTCCTTGTAGATATGCATTTTTTTCCATTCAACATATCTTTGATAATTATTGAAATTTTATAAAGCTGGCTTAGTTTGACACATGGTAAAATAGAGAAAGCAGATGTTTGAGGATTGTGTTGCGCCAGTCTTCCAAATGAAGAGAGCCCGTTTCAATTGTAAATCAATATTCCAATTCCTATTTTTGCTATGTTCGAATACCGATTGTCACCAGTAAGAAATACGCAGCAATATTTCTGCAATTAATGTCAAAATAGGGGTATTATATGCATATCAAATATTAATTTACACGTATGGTTGGATTATCCCACTTGTCTGCCAAAGAACTTGTGCTAATGGTCGCTAGATAACGTTGCACAAAAACAGTATATAAGAAATTTCACAGGAATCTCTCGTTTTCTCTTCTCTTTTCTTAATCACTGGATGCCTTTGGAGTAGAATGTGTCTCGTTTCAATTTTTAGGGACTTTTTAGTCCCCAGTGAACCACGTGTCGCATTGAGTATAGTACCGCACAGTAAAGAACATACAAATACTGTAAACTTACACAGATATATCTAACAATTCTACCAAAGCAACAAAGAACTATTCTCCACATGTAGGTTTCTCACAGCCATCCATAGGAACTTTGCACAGACGTATGTACTAAAAAGGACATCTTTATACACACGCGCTTGCGCGCACGCACACACATACACTTTCATTTATCCCTTTTGTATCCTTTCTATTTAGTTTACTCAGACAATGAATTGTTGTTGTCCATTGTGCACAATTGTTTGTGCGTTCATTCTTATACCCGTTTGTTTGAAGAAACTTCAATGCGTCCATTATTAACTAAGATTGCTACGCTCTCTCCTCCACCTCTCTCTCTCTCTCGCACACACACACATACGCGCACGCGCGTAATTGTTAATCCAACAACATAAAATACCATCTCTTCCGCTATGATATGAAATTAATTAAAAAAGAATAAAGATAAATAAGAAAGTTTAAAAAGAAAGTAAGAAAGAAATATTAGGGAATATGAAAGAAAGAAAGAAAGAAAGAAAGAAAGAAAGAAAGAAAGATGAGGGAATAGAAAGAAAGAAAGATTAATGGAATATGGTGAAAGAAATAAAGAACGACAAAAAGAAATTAAAGCAAGCAAAAAGAAAGAAAGAAAGAAAGAAAGAAAGAAAGAAAGAAAGAAAGGGAATATGGTGAAAGAAATAAAGAACGACAAAAAGAAACTAAAGTAAGCAAAAAAAGAATATGAAGAAAGAAAGAAAGAAAGAAAGAAAGAAAGAAAGAAAGAAAGAAAGAAAGAAAGATTAGGGAATAGAAAGAAAGAAAGATTAAGGGAATATGGTGAAAGAAATAAAGAACGACAAAAAGAAATTAAAGCAAGCAAAAAGAAAGAAAGAAAGAAAGAAAGAAAGATTATGGAATAGAAAGAAAGAAAGAAAGAAAGAAAGAAAGAAATATTAAGGGAGTATGGTGAAAGAAATAAAGAACGACAAAAAGAAACTAAAGTAAGCAAGAAAGAATATGACGAAAGAAAGAAAGAAAGAAAGAAAGAAAGAAAGAAAGAATATAGAGAGATTATAAAAGAAGGAAAGCAAAAGTGTGGTGATATAAAACTCTGGCGGCAGTCATTTCCGTCGTGTCAGCTCAGCAATGTTTACTGACTACAGTCCTATTGGCAAACAAATCATAACGGTCGTATATACTAACAAGCAGTATATTATTATTAATAATATACATTTACATAAATTGTTGATGTGACAATAGATGAAGTCAAGATGAGGAAGTAAGTTTTAAATTATATCTTTTTGTATGCCTGTTGTTAGAAGATCTGTTTTAATTTCAGAAATTCAACCAGAAAGAAGGGGACAGAAACCGTATCATAATGATCAATTGAGATGTTGAAATCATATGATTTGAATAAGTTTTAAAATATTTTCTCTAGACGTTCAATCATAAAGAAGTGAACAATTCTTATAATATCAAGATCTGTTATTATTAATTTTTCGCGCTATAAATATTTGATATTTGGACATTAAATATTTATGAAGATGTTATGATCTAGAATGATGATGATATTTCATCATTCTAAAAATGACCTTGTCTTCAGTGATGATAGAAAAGAAGTATATTTCATCATCGTACCCTCATCATTATAAAAACGACCCTTTCACCACAAGAGAGTCAGTAGAGTAGACTTGGATACCCTATAACAGTAGTCACTAGTAGAGTAGACAAGTAGTAGTAGTCAGTAGTAACAGACGTTTGCCAGCTCGAAGATCGAAAATAGACGATATCAAACGCCATCCTCACAAGCGAAATACTCGGAACCAAACCATGTCAAACGACATCCTCACAAACGAAATTTTCGCAATCAAACCACGTAAGCACTTACTTTTTAACAGAAGACACTGAGAATATTTTTACACGCATCATACCAATATTCTGTAATTCACATCACAAAAAACAAGGCAAATTCTTGCTATTTATGTCAATACGTGTCTCAAGTTTTTTATTGTTTATATTATTATAGGTTTTAATTCATTTCATTTTCAACATAAAAAAGAAAAGTACAGTGTAACCCGGATATAAGAGAGTTGTCGGGACCGGAGAAGAAGTCTCTTATATCCGGGTTTCTCTTATATCCGGGCTTGGTCTATTTTATATACATTAACACAGGCTCTAATTTGGGACCAGAGAAAATCTCTCTTATATCCGGGTTTCTCTTATATCCGGGTCTCTTATATACGGGTCTCTTATATCCGGGTTACACTGTATTCCTTTTACACTACAAATACATATAGCAGCGGGTTAATTACTTTAACAATACTCAAATAATATCAAGTCAGGATTACTACTACATCAACCCTATCTTACCTACCTTGTTACAAAGATTTCAATTTGGTCAGTTTTGATAAGTATCTTTATCGTTTTCAACCTGCCGCCATTTTTAGTTGTCTTGATTTTGAAATGTCAATGTATTTATTGTTGATATTTTTTCCGATTTGACGGTGCCGTCACATACGACCTTTGTTTTGTCTAAATATTTATGATTATACGTATTTCAGGCTTATATAAACAGAAAGAAAGAAGAAAGTAATTTCAAAACAAAATAGGCATTACATTATTTAAAAGGATAAGATTAACCGCACGGCTTCGATATCAGTAATTTTATTTTTTTATAAATCTTGTCTCGAGCTTTTAAATTTTCTGAGATTTCGTGATCCTGAAGAGTATTGTAAACTTAAACTAATTTTTCGAATTCTTTCGAACTATGCTTATATGCTGTACAACAGTGAATGCTGAACAGATGAAGAGACTTGAAGCAACGTTTAATATATTAGTATTGAATGCGGTTCTACAGAAGGATGCTGAGAATACTATGGATCGAACATATAAGCCACAATGAAGTTTTAGAGAAAATGGAAACGAAAAGTACACAAGAAGAGACAGAGGAAAATCCTAGGTCACATAATGAGGGAAGTGTACTTGGGAAATTTGATACTCACAGGACAGATTGAAAGCAAGAAGTACTGAGTAAAACAACGCATGACCTATCTAGCGAGCTTGAGTAAATGGATGGCTAAGGAAGGTTTAGGAGAGACGACAAAATTTATTTAGAGCTACAAAGGACAGGAAATTGTGGAGAGCCATGATCGCCAATGTCCTGAAGGGACACGACACACAGAAGATGGTAATATATTTGTCTCTAAGATTTCACAGTAAACCAGCAAGAATCTTTAGAACATGTTGATATTTTTTTCAGAGATGTGTAATGAAGTGGGCATGCCAAGTAAATGATATGAAACTTGAATCTTTCAATACTTAACATTTTATTTAACTCTTGACTACGACTGGCCCCGTTCTCTCGTTCGAAACGTGGTCCTTACATTTTGTCTGCGATCTATGATACTGCCCACAAATCACCTTGAGGCAATTGTTTATATAACAGTGTACTACAAATCTTGCCCACGCTCGTAGATCCGGGTGCAGTTATGAGGTCACGTTCTCCTCCATTCGGCGGCCGGGGGTGATTCACTATCAAACCCCTGGTGCAACTGGCTTCTTTAGTCTTTGACTGAGGGAAAAGTCTATTCCGGCACAATTCTACAGACGTGATAGCCTTAATTGTTCAAATTTCTTAGATTAAGAATTCTCGTTATTACTATTTTTTACTAATATTTCTTTAATCTTATTTCTGTTACCTTTACATTCAGTAGTAATAATCTTGCCTAAATACATGCACCTCTATTCGGCACAACTGGCTTTAGTCTTTGACTGAGGACAAAGTATATTCGGGCATGTTTCTACAGACGTAATATTTGTCTAAATTTCTTAGATGAAGCATTCTCATTATTATTTTTTTTTTTTTTACTAGTATTTCTTTCATCTGATTTCTTTTACCTAAGAAATTTAATTATTACTACTGGGTGTAACACCCAGTATTAATAAATCTACCTAAATTTCTTAGACAAAGCTGTCAATTATTGGTATTTAGCTAGTGTTTCGTCCTCTTGTTTCTGTTGCTTTTATACCCAGTAGCAATAGTCTTAAGTTATCTGAATTTCTTTCATGGAAAATTATTATTACTCATTTTTCAGTAGTGTTTCGATTGTTTTATTTCTTTTATATTTTATCTCAATCCACAGGCCGTTTTAGATTCTACGACAGTTAAATAAGCAACATAGATGGGAGATTCGATAAAAAGCAAAAGAACAAAATGAAAGCATAATAAAAAAAAATATATAATTTATTAAAATGACTATAGTCGAGCATAAAGTCGGATGAGAGTAGAAAAATAGTGTTGTGCTAATCTTCCAAATGTGGCAATCATTTGTCTTGAAAATCAGCGAAGCGCTGGATTTGAACATCGTTCAATGTCGCAACAGATACCCAAATATCTTCCCTGCCGAAGACATCAACATAAATATTTACTCTGATTACCTTTCGTCGAGCACAGGGTGCTAATACTGTGACACCACATGTGGATCGGACTCACTTCGTCAATAATACTCTAGCGAAACAAACCTGTTACGACTCGACGGCAGACATCCTAGGTTGTGTATATTCTATTTTATTCTTCAGTATGTTGACGAACACATCGTTCAAAAACTTCCGAAATTTTCTTGCTCTAAGTAACAATTTACTTTTCACATCTTTGTTTTTTGCTTCTTTTTTTTTTTGGTCTGTCATTCATTTCCATAAACTCATTAGGTAGGTTACTCGCAGTTTCACCTTGCTTCTCTTGCCTTCAATATATCCTGTAAGTGTCAAATTTTCAAAGCCCTCTTTTCTCACTATGTGTTCGAGAAATATCAATTGTTATACGGTTATACGGGTTCAAAGGGCATATTTTTGGCCGAGCCCACGGGCTTGGAGATCCCACGTTAAACCATCCTTGTGCCACATGATGCCCTCGTGGAGGGGGGGGTGACTAAATACCGTTCATTCCGAAGTTTAACGTCGGATGACCGGCTGACCAGCTAATCGGTTGAACTCTCTGCCTTCGGGCTGGGAGGAACCCGAACGAGGCTACGCCGAAGGGTGGAGTCTCTTTCGGGGGGGTAAACCGATCCTGAACCCGGTTATACGGGTTGAAAGGGCATATTTTTGGCCGAGCCCACGGAGATCCCACGTTAAACAGGCCTTGTGCCACATGATGCCCTCGTGGGGGGGGGTGACTAAATACTGTTCAGCCTGAAGTCTGGAGTGAGGTCCGTCAGAAGTCCGTCAGGAGTCTGTCAGTCAGTGAGAGCGAGCGAGTCAGTCAGTCGAGTCAGAGGCAGTCCGAAACAGAGTCGCGTTCAGACAATTACTACAAGACATTAGAATAGTGATACTGGTCGAGACTACATTGTTCTCCCTACTAAACCTGATTTTTCGTACTAACACTTTCTACTTCTCTGTATATATTCCTGTTTGTAATATATCTGTGTTATTCCATATCCGTGTTCGAGTTCTTCTTTATTGGTTCTACCTTAGACTATCACCGTGGTACAAGGAACCGGACCATAACACTGTCCAAATGTTATATTTTTCCGAGGGCTTTCGGCTATATATTTAGCCATTTTCAAAGATAAAATATATTAAGGGTGAAAAATATTAATGCTATTATTTATGAGAATACAAACATAAATAATAGCATTAATATTTTTTATAAAAATCAAATGAACGAAAATTACAAACAAGATAAAACTAGACTTAAGAACATTATAAAAAAAAGCACAACACCAGTAGACAAGAGCAAAAAAGTTAGACTAATTATTTATTAAAAAAAAATTAAAATCGCCAATCTTAGAGTTAAAAATAATAATTCACCTCTTAGATAAAAATTAAATGGAACAAATATTATTTACGAATTTAAATGCCCATTAAGGAATTGCATTCCTGATCAATCAAAATTCGTAAACAATTATATTGGCCACACTACAACATGTTTAACAAGAAGACTCACGCTACATCTTTCTGACCATAGCTCAATTAGGTCTCATTTAAATACTCATGGAGACTTACTGGACCCTATTCGCAACATGCTTGTTGATAATACAAATATAATAGCATCGTATACATGTAAAAATGGTTAAAAATAATGGAAGCTTTATTATCAAAAAGCAACACTCAGTAATATCAACTGTAGACATGGACACAATATGTCAACTGTGTTTTGAAAATCAAGCATTCTATAATACTAAATACATACATACAACAATCTATGTCTAGTTAACAGTTAATATATTTAATCTTTGAAAATGGCTATAGTATAACCGAAAGCGCTCGGAAAGATATAACATTTGTACAGTTTTTGTATAATTTATCTAATGAAAAAAAAAAAAATTTAAGATCATTGTCTGTCATACTTAATGAATCTTGCGTATATATATATATATATATATATATATATATATATATATATATATATATATATATATATATATATATATATATATATATATATATATGCGGTATTGAAGAGTATTTCATTCAGATCCACCCACGCGCTTTCAAACCGACGAATTAGAGATAAGTTGAAACTGATGGGACTGTACACAATATGCACAAGAACAGTTTCAGAAGACTACGGTTATCAAAATTTAAGGCCTGGTTCTCATACGATCACTGAAGTTAAACAACGTCGAGGCTGGTCAGTACCTACATGGGTGACTGCTTGGGAATACCATGTGCTGTAAGCTTGGATATATGGGTATTGTAATGGATAATGATTCGGAATTGTTAACTGAAGAGCCGAGTTCTAATTCCCGTTGGGTTCGTTATATTCACTTACTCTTTGGAAAGATATGAATCCACCTTTTCTCCCCCAGCTATTGGTTAATTAGTAAAACTTTTATTACTAAGTCATTATTATCTGTAAAAAAAAAAAATTCTTAGATTCTAAAAATATTTTCTGGCTTTAAATAATTTGATAAGCCGTGGAAAACGAATCAAACAATTACGGATATCAATAAGACCTGTGAAGCAAGACAGGGGATGAAAAGTTTTCACAAAAGTCCAAGAAACTTATCGAAATGTTGATTGATATTTGTGATTCCATTGAGGTGCGTTGTCAGCAATGTCTAGATCATAACGGAGATTAATTTGAAAACATTCGATAACATCTTAACGACATGCATTTATAATAAATACTGTCTTCATATGCATTATTTAATTTAGATATAGTTGGTTTTACTTGTTTGAATTAGTTTTTGAGAAAGCTTCTAAATATTTAGACATTTTTGAGACATCATATATATATATCAGGTGGCCTGACGATTGCATCTCGCATGAAACAGACTGTCGCCTCTAAGTGTTGACTTCTATATTCACTTATATATATGTATATATATATAGGTAAATTGTCATTTTATATTTTTAATTTCGCGTATGCGCGTTGTTTGTTTTTGATTTTGTCAACTGTACCATATAGTAGGGTCAGCTGAGCACCGTCTGTGAGAAAACAGAGCATCATGACGCAATTCACTCCACCAGAAATTTAGAAATGGCATATTTTACTGCTTGGCATTCTCGCCGGAAGCTCCAATAAGAATATTAAACAAGGAAACCGCCGAAAAGAGTTGCAGGAGATTCCGAAGTCATCTGGAGGCCGTGGTTGAAGCCAGTGTCGATTTTATTGAATTAATTTATTCTTTAATAATTCAAAATATTTTTATGTCATTTTGGTAAATATAGCTGTTAAAATGAGATGTCAGTGTTAATTTATTTTTTTGCATAATTTAGACGACATTTTATCCATCGCACCACACACACACACACACACACACACACACACATAGAGAGAGAAATTATGGTGTTTGAATTTTGCTATATTTAAACTAAGAGTTGAGCGGTAATATTGCTCAATATCGGAATAAGAAGATTTATAGATATCGACAGCGTGGACATAGAAATCAACTCTGTATGGTGAGAGTCAGTTTTACGTCTAAAGCGATCTTCAGGCCAAATATCGATTAAGAAAAGCAAGGGAATGAAGAAATCGTCCCTTCTCAGTTATTTTAATGACATACTTTAGATTATTTACGGGCACAACCATTTTGCTTATTTATTTATTTTAAATTTATATATTTTACTTATTTATTTCTTTGTGTATATTTTGGGTTCGAAAGTTTGGTGTTTAAAACAGTTTATTAGATTTAGATTGTGAGATTTTATTTATTCTTTGTTATTTATGATGTGATTTTAGGTCGCGTAGAAGGAATTTGTTTCCTTCTTTGCATTTTGAAATGAACACTGATCTTTTGCTTAGGAGTTTATTTTGCTTTTGTAAAGTGATTATCGCTATTTTCACTTCTAGACAAAGATATATAAAAGATATTGTAAATATAAAAGTCGACACTCAGGTCAACATCGAATTGCAACAATAAATTTCCTGCTTGAGATTGCGTTCAAGCATGAAACAGACTGTCCTCATTAAGTGTTGATCTTGGTATCCACTTTATATTTACACGCCCTTTACCCCTTATATTGAGTATTTTACCGATAAATATAGTATACCTTAAAACTATATTTTTATCACACACACACACACTTACCTTTTACATTCATATATATATATATATATATATATATATATATATATATATATATATATATATATATATATATATATATATATGCTTTTCATAGATCAGTACAATGACAAAATGAAAATAAAAGGAAGGTTATGATGTAACAATTTCCCATTTGGGGATGGCCTGCTCTGAAAATCCGCATTCAAAATTCTAATTTTTAAAAATCTTCGAAACACCGACTTTTGACACCAATCAAAATATACAACTACTTCAGCCACCAAGCAAGATTATTATATATAATATTACGAATATTTGGTTTAACTTTAATCATCTCGAGGTAGACGAAGGAAGAATGTTTAACTCTATTTTTTTCAAGTGGTCGGTCTGCCTTGAAAATCTGCATTTGATATCTTGGTTTAAATCTGAGCTAGAGCAACAGCTAATTATGCTGGAGAGAAATATTTCAGTTACCAAGCAAGCCCACAATAAGTCGATATTTCTCGGCCTGAACCAACTTTGATGTAAGGCCAAATTCGTGGAGAACATATTCCCTATCATTGGCTTATGACATGAGCGCGTTAACACACAGATATTTCCAAATTTGGCATAATGCAACATTTGCTGAGAATCAAAGAAAGAATAAATGAAGACAAAATTGTACAATACCTGCGCGTTTTCCTTCGGCCCGAAGAATGTTGCAATCTTTTTGCGGGTGAGATCCTTGTTTTCTGAGATTTCTTATATTCAAAAAGTTTTGCAAACCGCAAGCTGCGTGTCGTAGTCGGTAAAGCAAAACGAAAACGAGGCTTTATACTTTTGTTTAAAAAAAATGTGATTTCGGCATTTTGCCTGTCTGTCGACAGAAAAGTAAACTAGGTCTGTCTGGCCTTCAGAATTATCACCAGTTATTATCTCCCACTGCATACACGCTTTTAATCGTTCACACAGACACACACCCATAGAAGCTCTTGATAAAGTATCGAACGGACAAACTTCAAAGCACGTAAGCATTTGGACAGACGCAGAGAAGGCTGGTGTGCAGGAAGTGTTGAGAAAGTAAATGCGCTTTGTAACAAACAAAGTTTTCTCATTATTTTTTCATCAACCTCTTCATATTTTTTTATCTGATGCGTATCCTATAATTATTTCTATAATTTGAATGGTAATTATATATATATATATATATATATATATATATATATATATATATATATATATATATATATATATATATATATACCTCAAAGATTCGCTAAAAATTAGCATACTATGTAGAAAACGTTTTATCATGAAAATCTTTATGTTATTATTAAGAGGAAAGAGCAAATGGGGTTTTGAGTATTAAATTATATTTTTGTCCTCTTTAGAACGTTCGCAATTTTGGTTAAAAATTTTGTTTTTCTTCTTTTCAGCAGGTGACCATAAATTAGTATGGGAAATTTTAGTGTTTTTTTGCGGTGCAAAACACACCGATTTGGAAATTCTTGCAAAAATCAGATAATTGTTGGACTTTAATGAAACTTTCAGAACTTATTCACAAATGAATGAAATTATTTTTGAAATGTTTCTTTTTTACAAAATCTTTGTAAATTAATTTTATTTTATGTTAGCCTCCACTTATTTAAATTTATGAAATTTCGAGAAATTCTTTTTTGTAGCTTAACGTTTACATTAGTTATAAGCACAAGTTCTCGGGAGGAAAATGTAATGATTTTTAACATTACATTTTTTTGACTCCCAGCTAGAGAAAATCTGAATCGTAAAATAAAAAAATGTTATAAACTAAGACATCATTTAATTGGAAAAGCTTTTATGTATAAGATATATTATGGACTCTATTGTCGTAAGAATTTTTTTCTATGGATACTTAATTTTTACAAGAATTGTTTTAAATTTTTTTAAATTTTAATTAGAATAATTTATAAACATTTAAATCATTTAAAATTCTGTATTAATTTGTAGCGGTTAGGTGATATCGTTGAATTAAAAATTATATTTACTAATCATAAATGGAAAACACACTGCAATTCAGCGACTCCCAATGTTTTTAAAAGGAATTTTGAATTTATTTATGTGGTATAAAGGTGTCGGTTTTTGTAAGTAAAGATGTCCTAACGTGGCATTATCAGAAAATAAGAGCGTTAACTTCAGTAAATTTAAAATTTATTGTTAATTTTCTAACATTTCCTCAACAAACGTATTTTGCTTATTGAAAATATTAAATTTAATCTATTAGCTTGAAATTTAAACTAAAATAAACGCTTCAAGAAATACTTTCATGTTTATATATATATATATATATATATATATATATATATATATATATATATTTGGTTGGATAGATGTGAGTTTGTGACCCTGGGTTTCACGCTTTAGCGATCGTCAGACAAACTGATTAATGTTTTAAAAATTTGGGTTTATGTAGATTGCGTGTATTGGTGTTATTGTGGAAGTGGTGGGGGAAATTTCGTCGTTTTGATATATATAGCCGGTGTTGTTTAGAACGTTCGCTTTCTGACCATGAGACCCGGGTTCGATTATGTAGCAATAGATTCTTTTTCCTTTTAAGTCAATTTAATTATCAGAGATTCTTAGGAATCTCGTCTCCAGTCAGTCTTTTAAGTCAATTTAATTACCAGAGTTTTCAGGAACCCTGTCTCCAGCCCGCCTTTGAATTGGCAAACATAGAATTTTGTTAGTGGATTTCGATAATCATAAAAAAAAATGACCACCCATTCAGCTTTTGGGTGATTTCCTTTTCCGGAATACAAGTAAACGGATAGTGGTGTTGGGACCCCAACCAGTATCCATATAAGCAGAGAGGGGCTGGAAGACAGCATTCAGTGAGCAGAGGAGCAGCCGAAAGAAGACAATATCTGAGAAATTTTATTGATCGCTACTTCCCAATCACTGTCTTGAAAAGCGCGTCGTTCTTCTTTGTTGAATTCGAACACGGTCAAGGAGACAAACCTATAAACATAGCTAGCCGGGTTTATATACGCATACAACCGACCTTAAAGCCATCATAGTTGTGCAGTTACGGGTGTGCAGAACGCTTCGTCACAATTCTCACCATGATTGATTTGTCAGCAAGACCATTTCATTATGTTCCCAGCGTGTTACCGAGAGTCTGTGTCTTCTTCCAACTGGTGATCACGCCAGATT